ACACCTTTGGCACAAGAAAATTGATCCTGAGTAAAGACAGGAGAATGACTTGGAGTGGCACAAATCATTTGGGACAAAAATCACAATCAAAAGCAACATGTTTAATAGCTGCCTATTCCTGGAGTAACATGCACTGCTGAGAGCCCTACACAAGTGGACTACAAGATGTCTAACACTGAGAAAGACCTAAGTGTGCTGGAGATTGAAGTATAAACAGTACAAACTCTTGAGTCTTCCCTTCATGCTGAGAAACCCGCCCTGCTTCCCTTCCTGCCCCCTGCCAAGATAACTCTTACTCACTCTATCGGTGTGCTGAAGCAAACCATGGAGCCCTGTATACAAGCTTGATTTGATGAAATTCAATTGCCTGCTGCAAGTGTGACATTATTATATTCCTGTACCGTACCGTTCTGTTTCAAGTTCTCACAGAACATGTGCCACTTACCTGCGGGACAACAAAGAACCACCACAACACACCACCCTTCTTTTTTTCCTCACTATGCTTTTACTCCTGTGACAAGAAGAGACTATTCACGAGCAGTATTAGTCATGACTCGCACCAAGCTGATACAATTTCAGAATACAATGGGGAACCTAATGAACTTTTAAGAGTTTGACAGGGTGCTCATCGCAACAGCCGTGGGACACGGGGTATTTGAAATATTACAACATGTTGCCGTGCCTCACTACAGCGATAAACATTGGCCCAAGACTAATGTTTGCTGCAATATTTTGTTACTTATTTCCAGTATTTTGTTTTGATACCAGCTGGGCATCCTCCCAAAAGAACTGGAATCTTCTTTCTTGGAATGCACAGATTTCAAAGGAACACTATGCAAACACCAGTATCTTCCCTCTATGACCTTTATTTAGTTACAAAACTGCATGTTAAGGGTAAGACGCAACTGCCCTGATGTAGACTAAAGAATCAACACTACTGCTTTAAAATGTTTGGCAATAGGGTAAAAAAAAAAAAAAAGTGGTTTAAGCCAAAGGAAGGTTTCCTAGCAAAGGCCCAGCAGGCCTTCTATATCCAAGAGTGTATGCATTTGTTTCTGATTAAAGCAAATCCCAATATTCCAGGCACACATTTGATTGTAAATGAACTTTCTATTTAGGGGCTGAAGATAATTAATTGCTTATACAGAAAGCTTTACTCAAAAAACCCCCCACGCCACAACAAAAGGCCCTACAAACTCAAGATATGTGTAACTAAAGGAAAAATAATTAAAAAGAAAACACCATTGTCAAACTAATTGCTGAATACAACTTTTCCAAATATATTAAGACATTAAAAAAAAAAATAATTATAGCATACTTATTCCCCGAGAAGACTCTTTAGACAGCAAGTTTTGTTAAATATAGAATTGTCTTTCAGTGTTTTGATCATTTTGGAAATCATAATAAAGGCAGTTTACTTGATTTCTGAAAACTCAGTGGGAGATGCAAAACTAAGTCTTGCTCACACCTTGCAACCAGTAGTTCAAAGGAACTAGTCACAGGAATTTAGTTAACTGTGCTGATTAAAAAGAAACCTACCTCCACAAAAAACCTCACCAGTCTTCCTGCGCAAGGCCTACAGATGGTAGCAAGAGTAAAAAGAGAAAAGTCCATTGGAGCAGTAGGACTCAAAGGTAAAAGCACACCTTCTGCAAAGTCCGTAGGAACTGTCAACAGCCAGGATTTCACTGCTTGTGAAAAGGTCAGCAAAGGGAATATTCACAGCTTATTCTAGTAAACCAAAACATTTGTGGTTAGAAAAATTGAAGCAGACTTCACACCTACATTAAAAACACATTTCTGTTTGTCAACTCATGGTTTTAAGTCCAACTCTACGACATTCTGGGAAATGAGTGATGCAATCACCATTTCAAACAGAGAAAGGGCTGGACAGCATGTGATTTAACAGTCACAAAATACTTTGAGCAAACAATTTAGCTAATACATACCAGTGAAAAGGAGACTCTCCCCTCACCGATTTTTACCGAAAACAAGAGGGAACACAAGACAGACAGGTAGTTAAATTCAGGATACTCCCACCAATACCTTACAAGTAAATACCGTTTGATAAGAACTCCAGATCTCAATTTGATCTGCAAACCACAAAGAAGCTTTCGGAGCAACTTGGGTTTTCCAGCAAATGGAATGATTCTCAATCTCCTTCCCCAAAAGGAAACAAATCCTTGAAGAATCTGTCTTTTACTGTGTGGACATAGAAGTTCACAGGGGAAACCCACTAGTTTTAGCACAGGGAGACTGTCACTCTCACATGCTCTCAGGAGAGATGGGCTCTTCCCGAAAGCAAATTGGAGCTGGAGCTCAGCTCTAGCTGCATCTTCTATTCTTGCAAATGAACTCAAGAGAGCCTGAAATCTCTAACAGTTCTAGATTAAAATGTCTCATTTATACTTTTTTCCTGCTAGGCAGGAAACGAAGATACATTTCCAAATCAGGGGGGAGCTACTGCAGATTTTCACAGCTGAAGTGGTTTTATGGTAAAACAGTCCCATTTGTTTTTCACTTGCTTCTTTCGAAAGAGCTCTGCAAATTAAAAACCAAGACGTGAAGTCAGAGGACTGAAAAGTATTTCTGTACATTCAGAATCGCTACTGATTCAAATTAGAGGCAATATACAGCACTGTACAGAAAGTTAACAAAAAAAAATTTGGCAATTGCCAATTTAGGTCTCCTATTTATTAATTTAATGATTTGACACTCAACTGTTGCTTTCCAAGAGATATTTAGTCTTTAGATAGAACCAAAAGGATCCTTCTTTGCATTTAAATTCTAGAAAGAATTTATGTTTGGAAATATACAGATGGATTTTCTACCTTTTTGGAATGCCAATAAAAACATGTGGTACATATGATGAGACTCTGTTAGAAAGATTGCTGAACTGACCTTTAAAATCCAAGGGAATCAGAGATTTTGCATCTCTGCACATAGGAGTACCAAGATTTACACCACACTTGAAGGGCTAAGAAATAATAGTTATGTCCTATTCCTAGTCCTCCTTTTCCTGAAGCACATATTAACTTTATTCATTGTAGAGAACACTCACTGAGAGGTGCTGGTTTGCCTGACACTTTGCTAATTCCAGGACAATGCTGCTTTACAATCTTTCACTTCCTCCTTCCACCTGCCCTGAAAAGAAATTTATTTGCATAAGATCCATTTTTAACAGGCTAGACCCTATATTTAAAGTTAGTTCTAAATAGTTATTTTGGTGACTATCAGATACTCAGGCATACAGGCAAAGAGGTACTGATTACATAGGCATCGTATAGAATGGCCTGTCCTGGGAAGAACCGACACTGAAGTCATTCCAAACGTTAAATTATTGTTTGTCTAGTTTGAGAAAGTGTCAAGTCCTGTCAGTTTGTACAAAAAGTATTTTTTAAACAAAAAAAGTGAAGATCTTGAGTACAGACTCATTCAATTTGGAGGGGCTCTTAAGTTAGTCTCCAGTAATATTTTTCCTTACATCACTGATCCTTTCCTCTTCAGCATGTTAGAGGGGCTGCTGACTTCGCTAATTCTTAGCTTAAAAGTAGTCCTATTGACAGTGACTTACCTTCAAACAAAGAGATTAAATGCAAATAAAAAAGTTGCATTTATAATGAAAACTCAGCATATTCTATGAAATCTTCAAAATTCTTTATTTCAGGCCATTATTGTTACAGGCATCCATTTCTTCCTCTGCACTTGCACACGATCAAAGTTGGCACTCCCAACCACCAGAAAAGTTAAATGGTTATTACAGTACAGGCACAAAGGAGCCAAACAGCTTTACTTTCATCAAGCAAAGCTGTGATTGTGCTCTAACAGCATTTATTACTAGTGCATAGACTGTTCTGTCCTCCTAAGAGCAAGCAAGAAAGGGAAATCTCCCTTAAGTGAAGGAACACAGATGGCAGCTCTGCTGTAAAGCAGTAATTTCATCAGTGGAAGAATGATAGTTTGCTGGATACAGTGGACGCCTTCCCTCATTGCTTTCAGTCACACTTACTGGTTCACATGGCCTTGGTCAGAACTGGATCCTTGCAGGTCTCCAATACTGCTTTCATCAGTACAATCAGTGTCAAAGGTCCACATTTGAAGAACCAACAGGAATTTTTAAAATTTTTTTAAAGTAAACCAACAAAAAACCCAGAAGGTTGTCAGGACTGCAGTTCCTTCACCTAAGACACTGCTTCTTAATCACCATTTAAAAATCTCTTTCCTCTCCAGAAGCATCAATTCCCTTCCATCAAGGCGGCAGCACCAGAGACACTTTGTATCACTTAACCACAAATTAACACAACTAGTGTGTTCTACTGCATTTCAAACTTCCAGTTACAGCAGGAAAGTTAACAATTTGCATATGGAATCAGTATCAGATACCTGCCTGCACCAAAGGCAAGTTAGTCACAAAAACCTCTACAAATACATCACAGACAACTAGCAGCAAACACTGCTATTGTTACACAGTACTCTTCCATGAAACACGACTGACTGGACGGCCATCTGGAAAACAAGCTGGTAACAATCACATTGTAAAAACAGCAAAACAAATATTTGATCATAATAACTGTACGAACAAGTGTTAGGAGGAAGGAAGCAAGCACGACTCAGTTCACACAAATCCTACCTACACAGGAGTGCCTCTAATCCACAGAATGTGTAGTTTCAGTTTTGCATTAACAGCCAAGACTTCAGTCTGATACACGCAGCTGACTCCGTGAGCGGGCCCGAGCAGGCCGCGGAACACGACGCCGCAGGTTCTCCTCTCCTGCGGGAAGCCCCGCACGGCTGGTGCGAATGCCAGCCTTTGCAGCAAGCCACACTGCCCTTCCGAACGCAGGGAGACAGCAGAAACGCGTATACCACGCTTTCATCAGAGGGAAGTTTCAAAACAGGCATGACACCTGTACAGTTTGTTTCTAGGCACATCTTTGGTTACATTCTGAATACAGTCTGCTTTACAAAAAAAAAATAAATAAAACAGTGAAGCCTTGGTTAAGTCCAGGCAATGATAAAACTTCTTTTTTTCCAGCAACCAAGACAGTATAAGTCCCTTTAAACTGACGTTTTATTATATCCATAAACGATAAAATCCCAGTGCTACAGTAAGGCATGTAAATACTGAACCTGAAAGAAAAAAATGGGGAGGAAAAAGGAGACATTAAATCATTAGCTCTTGGACCATTTCTGCAGAAAGCTATGTACACTTCTTACTGCAATACTACAAGTCTAACCACCACCCCTTCCCCATGTAAGAAAATAGGATTTTTGATTTACAATAAACAATTCCAAGGTGGAGGGGCACAAAAATGTCAAATAAGAAGGAATGAAAACAAGAATGCAGGAAAACTGGGCTGCAAAACTATCAAAAAGCTGAAAGAAACGCTTAGTTGCTTACTATTCCAAAAAAGATCAATATGGCAAGCTACAGTTGGGAAGTTAGGAAATGAATAATGGGATTATTAAATCACGGTCAAGTATTGAGGAAACGAACAAATGAAAGCTATCTTTAACGAGGCTTATCAGTTTGCAATTTTTTAAATTTCTATTTGAATGAAATCAACTTTCGGTTTCTAGATATACACACAAAAGATTTTTACCATTGTTTCCAATAGGAGCACTTCAAACACAAATTATTTTTAATTTTTTTTTTTCCCCATGCAGAGTTCAACACGTTGTTGAGAAGGGATGGTGGGGAAAAGCATTTCCTCTCATTTTAATAAGTTGCCTTTTATTTTCCAGTAATGGTTCTCTCTAAAGGATCTGCCTGAAGTACAGTACAATGAATAGATGTGACTTCACTTGTGACAAAATCCATTGTAAAAGAATAATCAGAAACTCTAAGTCCCGAGAACAATTTGCTACTGCAAACCTGCTCATTTAATAGCACTGCACACTCAGCAGCAAAATGTCAAAATATTAAAGTTACCTAGGGCAATAATGCAGGCACACACACGTACCTCGTACTTTTCTAGTGCACATGCCTGAAAAATGAAAGTTTAAAGAATATGCGGCACTGAACGGTCAGAAAAAGCTGCAATGTTCTGTGTTGCATATAGATCTCCATCAGACAGATGAAGAAATGCAGGCAGCAGGCTGCTTTTACAAATTAAGTCAGGCACAGAAGTTCCTTTCGGCCCTTGTTTAACAGGCAGGCTTTTAGATTTCTCGCATCCATTATTATTATAGTATAAACCACGGGAAAAAACCCAGAGAGCCATACAGCCCTAGCCCACGCAAAATAAGTTGCAAATCATAGGAAACTTTGTCTGGGTTAAGTACACAAATGAGGCTGCTCATCTTGACTGAAATTATTTCAAGTATTTTTTTTTTTAAATCAGGGCCTGTGTGAATACAGTCAATTGAGAGTTTGCCAACCATTTAACAATGTTTAACAGTTTCATCATCAGATTCCTTACCTGCCAAGTACTTAATATTATCAAGTTTGTGCGATTCGAGCATTGTTTTCAGATCTGCAACTTCAGTGTCTATTTTTCTGTCTGTTTGGGTCAGAGCTCGGTCTTGTTGTGCGTGCTAAAAAACAGCAACAAAATGACGCAATTTAAACAGTTTCTAGTTTATTTAGAAATTCAACCCATCCCTTCAAGTTGTATTTTTGGTTCCTCCTTAAATGTATGTTAATTTGCATTCAGAGAGAGCAAGCTCCTTCCTAGCTGATTATATCCAAGGAATTGAATAACTTGGTGAACTCGGGAAATTTGTATGATTACATGTTCCTTAACACGCAACCTAGAAAGTGGCAGAGTCATATGCCTTCTTATCTCAATCTAGCAGCATAAATATTAACTTGAAACTGTTGCTCAGCCCACTGATATTAAAGTCACTGCTCAATTACAAGAGCTATTGAGAAGTCTAAGAGCTTCTTGTGACAAAAACATATGGGAACATAAAGATTTATGGATCATTAGAAAAACCAAGGATTGGTCTTCTGATGTAAAAAAGCATGTCTTCACCTTGTAATGAATTCTACCACAAAAACAGCTACAGACAAATTCAGAAGCTGATTATGACAGAAGAGAGGACTTCTGTATAAAAAAAAAAAAAGGGATAGAATTATTATTCAAAAAAGGCTGAAAGATCAAACTTGTAAACTGAAAACAGTGGCTGCTGAGTTGCTTATATTTTCAAATCAGCACTACTGAAATATTGTGAATTAGTTGATGATTTACTGCTAGACATCTTCCTAGGGATACTTCCCTATGCTACAGAAAGGAAACAAAAAGAAGAGGAAATGCTTGGTAAAAGCGTCCTCTAAAATGAAGCCAAATCGCTCTAGCAATGTGTTTCAGTCTCAGTGAACACAGGGGAAAAAAATTAATTTACAAACTAACATTAAACGTAGAATTCCATCTAGTGCAAATACTACATGCATCAAGTTTCAAAACAAAGTGACCACTGAACAGTTTATGTAGACATCTAGAGAGTCTAGTAATACATATGAAAGCCTTTTTACTCTGAGACAGTTCCACTACCTGTGCCAATACGAAAATACACAGGAAATCATGAAGCACAATGACATTTTGTACATTAAAGTGACCAAAGACATGGACAATTCCAAAAAGAATACCAGGTCTACAACACAAGTGAAAAAAAGATTTTCTGTATAATAATCAGCTATCAAGTTCTTACCAATTCCACTATTTCTGTCCTCATTTCAAGTAGTTTTCTTTCATTAAGTGAGTACTATGCAAAAAAAAAAAAAAAAAAAGATAAACATGATATTGTCATTAAACTTTCCCGTCCACACACTTAAAAGCATATTTCTTTGTTTCCAAACTCTCTAGAACACTGAATCCGCACAAGATTATCTTGTCCAGCTGACACCACTTCGGAGACAGTATTGCAGGATAATTGCTGCCCTTCAGAAAAGCACAATTTATATGGGTGTTCATCCACACTTCTGAATTGTAAAGTGCACAAACTCCATCAGACACTGATCTTCTGCAAAACCCGTATAGCTTAATAAGCAGCTGGAAGAAAGGCTGGCAGATTTGCATTTCTGAAAAGCAAAGATTTGTGATTCTAAACAGAAACTCTGGAACGACTGACTAATTCATTGAGCGTACAAGCACAATTAAGACTGAACCACCTACTTTCTTCAGGAAGGGGAGCACAGCTTCAAAACATCGTATAAAACTCCGCTACCAAAGACACGTTTAGCCAGCATTGCATGCGCTCACCATGGGCATTATTCTGACCATCACTTCATCATGTATTTGTTAAATATAGAATATTGGTATCTCATGTTAAGCCATGCACTTGTGGAACATTAGAAGTTTGTCTTATTTTTATGTTACAGCTATTTGGGTTCAAGGAGAGTTAAATCCAAATTAAAGAATCATACCTTTAAGGCAGGTTACCTTTCTGACTCACAAATAAGCATGATTTACCCTGACATCTATAATGGTTCCTGTCCCACTACTGGAGCAATTCAGTCACTCGTCGACATCTGCTAAACCACCAGTCTATAGTGCAGAGTACTGAGGTCATCAGGCACCCATCTCGGAACCCTCAGTTATGTACCCATAACCTCCTCTGTTGACATTCCCATGTGGAAAGCTGCTTTATTTTCCTCCACTCTGGAAGCTTATTCCACTTTAATAGTAAACTCAGGTTAATTGTCTCAGCATTGAAAAACCCTCTGTAAAGATCTAGAGCTCTAGTTGGAGTTGTGACTGGTCTAAATTTGAAGTTACGAGACAGTGAGCTGCTACAAATGTAGAAAATTACATAACAAAGGCAAATAACAGCATGTCTACAATTAATGAAACAGTTGCTAGATTCTGCAAAATGCAGAGTGATAAAAAAAGAAATTCAGATATTTTATATAAATATACATTTTTTTAAAGTGGTAAAATGGAAGGATATTTCTAGAAGAATCTAATTAAAATTATGTTTGCAGTGCAATTTCACATAAAATTGGATCTCACATTAATAAACTAATAATCACTGTCAGAAGAACCATGACATTTGAAATAAATGATTTTATGGGTTGAAAGAGCTTGTTTGTTTTACTTTAAATAGATGCTACTAGCCAAACACACATTTTCTGAATAATTTATATTCCACAAGCTTCTTTCTTGATGTTTGTGTTTGTTAAAGTTTTGCTTTGCGGCTAGAACTCTCTAGGTCCAACCCAAGGATTTTAAATTCAAGTTTAAGGCAGTGAAATACATCCGTTTACTGCAAGGTATCACCATGCATCTGCAGTAACACCAGTGCATAAAAAACAGGAGGAAAGATAAGGTTAAACCTCTACCCTGAAGTTTACAGCTGGGACATTTCCCCTTAAGTGCACGTTTTTCACAGTCCAGAGAAAATTCTGTTTTGTCAGATGCACCTTGAGATTTTTAACAGCAAGCTTCAAACACAGCATGTGTGCATGTGATGCATGAACACGTGAATATACATAGGAATTGGCACCGTACTTCAAGTTTTTAAACCACATTTGTATCACTGCAGATACAAATAACAGCATAAGCAGATGTGCATTAAGCAATATAGGATTCTCCAAGAAACATAAAGTGGAAAGAACTAATTAAAAGATAAAGCATTTTGAGTTTGAAATATCAAAGACTGCCCACATCAGCACTGACAAATTAAGAAATTCTCCTTCAGTACTTATTCCAAGCAAAACTGAAGCATAAGAACACTTTACTTAGTGCTTCAAGTTAAGTCAATTTAAACTTAACGACATTTTTCTTCTGAATAGTAACTTAGTAAGAATGCACAGTCACCTTCAATTGTCCTGAGTTTTGCTCAGAGGAAGCTGGATATTCAGTCCTAAGTCACATTACAACTGAAGTACATATGATAACGATGCTTTGCCTACTACAGAAAATACTGGATTACATCTCTCCCCCAGCTTAACACAGATGCTACAACCCGCTTCCCATTCACCTGCCTTTTTCCTTTTCTGTTCGTGCATGGCAGGGCTGGCAATGAAAGTGGAGGAGGCAGAGGAAGAAAATAGAAAAGAGCAGTTTTCATTGACACTATGAAATTAAAGCTGCACAACAGACTACAACGTTGGTCAGCTTTCTCAAGAGAAAGTTGATGTGCACCACTTGCTTTTCCTAGGAGAGTCAAAATAATGGAGTGGTCTGAGCAACGCGCAGAGTTCAGACTGCAGGATCCTACACAAATATACAAGAAAACACTAGTGCCTCATTTATCACTGGTGAAGTGGTTTTAAATAGGTTTTGTAAGCCCAAAGTACTGCAAAGCTTACGATCTACACAGTTAATACATTTGGTATAATGTTTTTTTAAAACATTAGCATAACGTATTAACCTTGAAACAAGAATTCTTCCTGCTCAAACTGTGCTTTATTCAAGCATCTACCATGGGACAACAGACTGTTGGTAATTACATAATTCACAGACACAATCATTGTGAAAAACTTCAGGGGCCAGACACAGAAAATAAATGGTATCTACTTGAACAGTTCTTACTGCCTAGGTCAGAGATAAGCTTTACATCTTCATCACACACCTGTGAAAAAGGACTGACTAAAATAAAATAATCAAAAAATGTCATTAAAAGATCTTTTAATTTAGAAGATGCAATTTGAGATCCTAAAAGCTATTACAAAAAAAAAGTATCTATGGGAACAGAACTCTATTTAGAGTGCTACATGTAATGCAAAACCATGTTTTTCTTCTAATTCTTCATCTACGTTGTTCTAATTTAAAATCACATGCATTCAGTTCTACCAGGTATTTCAAAGTCCAAACCACTGTGAACAGTATCGGTTACAACTAAAAAAAAATAAAACCAAATTACAACTATTTTCACAATAGGTGTTTCCTGACAAACTAGCTAAGCTATAAATTCTCTAGCCGCAGGGAAATGAAACATCTTCAATGACGATAAATTCAATGAAATGTGTAAACTTAATTAGGCATGAAAGCAGAGAAAGATATACTAATAATACAGAAAACCTCTAGGCAGCTAGTCAGCTGATTTAGATTAAATATCTAATATATTTAAGTGTAATGTGTTAATCCTGTTTAAACCAGTATCAAAACAGACATACAAACCCAAACATGGCACCTTGTACCACAGCAGCATACAGATGAGTAATTGGATTAAAACCATCTTGAAGGTGAATGATACTACAGATGAATATGAAAATGCTCTTTGGGTAAGATGCTCTTATTTGGCGATTACTCACTGTTTGATGTTTCTAGAAGAAAGTAATCGAAACTTACCAATTCTTTTACTCTGCTCTTCTCTAGGTTTAGGTTTAACTTGTTATCTGCACGAACTTTGGTAATTTCATCCTAACGGGGAAAAAAATGATAAAGCAGCAAGCAAGACTTTCTATTTAATCGTAAGTAGGAAAGAATTAGACAAATACATCATGCCTTTCTTTACCTCTCCCAGGAATCAAGCTTCTCTCCAATTAACGTACATAATTTTCAAAAGTATAAGTACTCCTATTCCTCCCCCAGGAAATACTCATATTCCAGAGTATGAACTGGATCTCAGAATCAAAACCTAAGAATTACTTTTAAAACCAGAACACTGAGAACAGCACTTACTTGAGAGCACATCCTTCTATGAATACTGGGAGTATTTCATATATCTGGTAATACACTCCAAATTCTAGAAATCCATGCCTGAGTGCACCTCTAAGTTGGACTTCCTCCACGATGCAACCTTGACGCTCAAAATAACTTTAAAAGCAGTTTCTAATTTTCCAATGAAATTGAAAATCTGTTTCTAAAGATTACATCTAGGGCTTTCAGAAAAGCTAAAGATATTTCAGAAGTCAAGAAATGTTTATTATATTTTTAAAAGTCTAACTTTTTAAAACTACCGTAAGTTGTACACTGGCATTTTACTTCACCAATAGCTGAAAGGGATTCCTGCTCTTCTCAGTCAGACCTGCCATTTTAAGGCAACCTCTTGGCAGGAATTCCAGCCAACTGACAGTTCGTCACGCGGCAAACTGCTGATAAGATGAATGTGAGGGGGGACCAAAAGACTGTCAATGTTCTGGGAGATTCTACTATTAAAACTAAGCAAGCATCTTCAAGTAGGCCAACGTCAACTAGTCAAGAGTTGATTAAGTTAGCATGAATAATAAGACTCAATTTCTATGTTTGAATTTTTGAACTTCTAACTGGTTTATGATTAGATGTCATTACAACACAATACATTACAGTTTAATGAATCAAAAACTATAAATATTTTTTCTTAAATTTTTACAATATTATGTCTTTCATCTTTCAGAGGAACAAGTATGAGCAAACATAAAATAACTTGCCCTTGTGAGAATTACATTTACAGTTAAAAGTAAAATTTAAAGACACCTAGCTTTTAACAAGAGATGACTCAGATCCTTGATGCCCTAGCAGTGGATTACACTAACTCATTTATATGCAGTTAGAACCATAAAATAAGTTACAATTCAAAAATTAGATGCTGAATGTATTTTTAAGTGGTATTCTGAAAACCCAGATGCATTAAGCACTTCATAACACAGTATGAAACATGCAGGATTAGCCTTGAGTAATTTACATTCTCCTTTTGGAGATAACACGCAAAAAGAAATTGAAACCATGAGAAAGAAATGGCAAGGAGGCACTAGGCTGAGTTTGACCATGCTGTCAGCTAGCTCAGCAAGTCCGATAGTG